TTCACAGGTGGTTAGCTAATCTTATAAAGCTAACATTAACTTAACTTTAACAACATTAACTTTTTTAAAACAGATGATAGAGTTGCAAGCATGCAAGTGAAATGTATGATTCTCTTTTATATTATCAGTGGCAAACGTAGCTGAAAGTAATATATCACATAATTCTTGATAATAATCAACTATTGTTTACGCTATTACAAAATTACCATCTGATAATGCTGAATCATCTTTAGTGGGTAGAACAGGCAGCTTTTCTGAATCAGACCGCTTTGATGGGTTGGGCTGCCAAACATGACAAACTTTACTTAGTAAATTAAACAGAGTCTATATACTTCACAACTTGAAGATTGATTATAGATGTTGTTCATTTACCTTGTTGGAATTTGATCTCAACAAGAAGCAAATCTTTGCCTTGGTGTCTCGCTTCGGGTCTTCAAGCTTTAGAGAGATTTGAGCTATATTAGTAGCTGCTTTTTTGATAACCTTGCAAGCGTAATCGATAGCATGATAGCTATACTCATTCCAATTGATAGTAATTATCCGATTATTTAAATCAGCATTCGGACAATCTAAACCGTCTTCCTTAAATTTAGCTTCGTAATCACCATTTTCTAGAATAGTATTTTCAAGTCCAGTCGTAACTAAACGTATCCTAATAACTTCCTGATGAAAATCTGACAAGATAGCAGTTTCATCTTCATCTTTTTTAGCTAAGATTAATTTCATATGGACAGTATCATCACTTGTGTCTATTTCGGATAGGAAAGCTAACGTTTTAATTCGTTGCTGCCAAGATGGAAAGATATACTTGCAGGCTGAATAAAAGGAAGATTTGACGCGGGAAATGACGGCATAGTCAGAGAAATGGCTTACTGCAAAAGTAAGGCAATAATATCCATTTTTATCGCGGCTATATTCATACTCTATATCTTGCTGTTCCCACTTCTCACATCCGTAGCTTCGACAAATGATCTTTATTGGGATATTAAAGTTGTTGTTTTTCTCAAGTGAAACTATCTGGTTGATATATGGAACGGGGACTTGAAGTAAAGCTTTCCTTGTGCTATTAGGGGTAAATTGATACCCATCCGGCTCGAGGCGAACGATTGGCGATAACTGGATAAAGTGGTTACCATCAGAATCTTTCTGAATTGGTAAACCTTGATTATAAGGTGGATCTGCATAGTATACAGTCATGGTTAGGGTGGCCTCAGTTGTTATACACTGAGCTGGAAGATGAAATTTTAATCCAGGTACTTCAGGCAAGGTTAAATCATGATCTTGATTAACTTGACAGTTATTCGATACCTTTGGATAGCCAGCTTTGGCTGTTGCGATAGTTGACGTTATATAAGAATAGAAATGAAATTGATGATTTAGAAAGTACTGTCAATGGCAAGAAATGTTCTCCTATGCCTGTGTTTCTTCTAGTTAAAAGTACTCTTCGATTTTAATGCACTAATAAATAGAATAGCTCTGTCATTACATAATGGGACTACAATTTAGAGAGAAAAGGTTGTGGATAGAAAGATACTGTCGAAAACTGCACTCCTATCTCCAATCAAAACAAAATTAACCTGGATGCATTCCTGGAAATAAATGACATTTCGCTGGATTCTTTTTTCTTTTTCCTGATGTAAGATTGTTATCTGGCTCAAAAGTAATAGAAGAACATTAATAACAACAACATGTTCAGCCATTCACTTTTCTTATATTAAAGCAGCTGTTATCCGTTGTGTTTCCACTCTTAGTCGTTAACGTAAGCACGAGAGACTTTGATACACTCCTAGTAAGCTTACTAAAAGTCTCTTTTATTTAGGATTTACTGCATTTAAATAGTATAGCCGTGATGACGTATTATACCTTAACTTATGCTAACACGTTAGGTGCAGTAAAACAGGTTACTGTATTCTTACATACATAACATCCCTTCACTTAACAAAATAAATTAAGCGATATAAATTACACCATAGATATCATTGCAAATATTCTATGTTTATATTTATATATTTTTATATTATCTATCAATAAACATGCCTTGGATTTCTCGGTCAGCGCTATTAGATAGTTCGTCATCTTTCTTTAGATTTTGCAATGGCTCGGCAGCTTTAAGAATGACGTGAAAATAAAAAAGTTTAATCGACAGAACCTATGACTGACAATTCAATGTTTCTCCTTTTAATTTTAATGCCAAATTTTAACTGTAAATATCACTATTGTTCTTATCTCTCTTAATACTTTAAATCCAAAATGATAAAACTAAAGAAAAATTGCAGTTAGCTTTGTAAGAATTTTAACAAAATTCTTATTGCGGAATACAGTAGATGTACCGTAATAAATGCAACTTTTGAAAATACTCGTATACAGTTTTAAGCACAAGTTAGCAAATTTATAAATATCAAAGGTATAAAAATATCGACATCTATAAAGTTTACTGTTAACTCCCATATCTAGAAAGTATGTTCACTAAGATAATCTAGCAGTAAATTTTCTTTTAATATATTGCCTTGTATGTTAGACTATGTACTATTCATCGTACTACGTAAATGCTACGTATCTTAATTATGGTTGGTGTCATTTAGAACTGTTTGATCTCATTCCTAAGTTTAAATAATTATGTGCAATTAACACAGTATAGTCACAGTCCGATTTTGGATGTAAAATGCGAACTTGAACATTCAAACAAGGAATACGTACAGTAAATCAATGGAAAATTTTGAGAAAATTTCTAGTCAAATAATTTAATGAAAATTGATATGATTTTAAATTTTTTCAAGACAGAATATTTGTTGGATTCTGTTAGTATATCAAGCTTTTTGCAATCGTCTAACACCACATGAACTATTATCATCTACGTTGAATTTGATTTTACAATCAATATTACCTTCTACATTGACTACATCTCTAAAGCTAACAAATATGGTTAATACCCGTATCTACCTCAAATCTAGATAGTTGCAGTAGTTGTAGTGTTAGTATATCTTACGTTACTTTATGACATCTAACGCTCCTCTGTAATAACTATAGTATTTTTATAGGATTTATGATCCAAAGTAATGAATCTATTTTCTATTAAACTATTTATTTCAATCTTTCAACAGTAATATACCCTATTAGTATCTTTGCGGAGATATAGATGCTGATAATCTTCGCTAAAAAACTGATTTGGGTTATAACGCAAAGTTTAATATGAAATCAGAGTCTTGTCGTGTTACGCTTGAGATACGCTATCGTATCTACAGTAAATTAAAAATAGTCCATGAAAATTAATTTATCATAAATTGTGTAAATAATGAAAAGAAAATTTTGATAAACACTTTCTGTTTATAGCATAAAAGCTTACCATCTTCTTTTACAGCATTGGATTTCCTTTTTGAATTTTTACGTGTAGAAATAACTTTACACATACGATGATCTTCAGCTACAGAGCGCAGCCCGCTTTTAAAGAGTGTTTCAACTAATGCTTTCTTTGTGTAACTCCGACCTTTTCTACGCTTATTAATACTCAACATTTGCGCACATTGATCGTCAACTGATCCATTATTGTTAACTATAATTTTGTCGATGTCGCCTTGATCAATTCCAAATTCTCTTGCCAAAGTTTTCCAATGCGCTCCAATATCTTTTACGATTTTGCCGTTATACTTCTTGGCTGCTACAATAATTTTATTTTATTTGCAAAAATAGGATCAGTGGCTACTTACAGTACATCATATGAAACAGTTAATAGAAAATTGAATGTAGCAAGAATGAACGATTCTCTCTACACTAAATCAAGGATATTCCTCTTTCTAAGTTGCAATTGTTGAAAGTGCTTGCTATACAAACCAATTAAATGACTCCATCTTACAAATCAGGTAAGTCGCTGCTATTGTAGTATGCGATAGATTTTACTGTATTGTCACTTAAAATAGTAAAAAAATGTTAGCCACAGTA